TACATATTACTGTATTATACGGGTTAATAAAATTTACATTATACCCTTTAAAATCCAAAGCTTACTACGATACTAATAATATTACAATATTTTTTAGGGTTTTGGGGCAATTAAATAATGCAACAAATCAAATTGTCCCCAAGACCGTCTATACAGACGCTGATCCGGCCATGGGCGCAGTCTTGAAAAATATGTGGCCTACTACACATCATTCCCACTGTATTTTTCATCTTAACAATAATTTTGTTAAGAAACTTAAACTAATTATGGGTAAAAGCTTTAAAGAGTGTTATTGGCTTTTTTATTCTTCTCGCAATAGTTTGCTTGAAATTGATTTTGAACGTCGTTGGATGCAATTTGTTGAATTTGTTGAACCATTCCCTAAGGCGCATCGATATGCAATAGAAACGCTTTACCCTACACGTCATAGCTGGGCGGTCTGCTATACTCAAACTCGCTTTACCGCTGGTATTCAAAGTACCCAGAGAGTAGAGGGCATAAACGCCATTATTAAGAGGGAAGTTTCGCATAGCTCAACTTTGTTACATTTAATAGATGCTATACAGAACCGTCTAGATGAAGAAGCACGATATGCCAGGATAAGTGAACAGAAAAATATGAACCCTTCTATAGGTCTTTCTCATATCGCAAGCCAGTATTTTTCGGGCATTGATTCCTTACTTAAAGAGTATTTAACTCCGCACATTCTTTCTCTTCAATGTATACAGCTTTCCGAAAGCTTTTTATATGATGCCACTGAAATTTCTTTTGATTGGGATAACTTTCTGCTTGAACCAGAGGACATTACTGAGAATGGATGTCTTGAAGATGATTATGAAAGGTCTTAAGGTGTTGCTTCACACCTTACGACGTAAAGATGTTGAGCAAATTTGGATTATTACGCCTCAAGGATTATTTCCTGACCACTTTAACAATCATGTTGTAATACTTACAGACGGTTCACATTTATGCACCTGTCTCACCTTAGTTAGCAAAGGAATCGTTTGCCGATATTTTATAAAAGTTTTAATGAAATCCTATCTGGCTGGATTTCACATTTCCTTAATATCAAGGCGATGGTATAAGAATAGTAAGATTAATGAAGAAGATAAGGATATTGCTTTGCTCCCATCAATTAGACTATATAAACCTAACCAACCTTCGGCATCTATCAGCATTTCACATGTGGTTGATTTTTGACACTTGTCACGTTTTCATGTAGATAATGTACTTACTCCTGCTTTACAGAAATCTGTTAGTGAAAAAAAATGCGTTGGTCTAAAGGATATGGACTATCAAAAAAAAGGCGCTAAATCTGATGATAAGACTTAACTGTGATGAGGAATTTTTTGATATGATGGAGGGATTTATTTTATCCAAGACACATGAATTAAAACTTGCTAATGAAGAAAACAATGATTCTGAATCTACTCGACCTATTGCTGAGTCTCAACCAGTTGTGGCAAATCCGTTCGTGACTAAACGTCGTGGTCGACCACCTAATCGACTTAAGAATGCATTGGAAGATATTACAGGTACACATCACAATGTGCTTGGCTCCACTAAGGCAGTTTTGGAAGGAAGTAATATTCAAGAAAGAAAAAAGAACAAATGCACTAATTGCGGGGAGTACGGGCATAACATTTGAACTTGTGATGCAGACTAAATGTTAATTATGATGTATAGATTATCTAGTAAGAATTATATTTTGCTTGTTTAATGCTACAAATTGGTTGTTTCCGTCTATATACTTCAAACAATATTTCATATTGAAAATTTGATTTATTGATTTATACGCATTTTCTATATAGCACTTAGCAAATTTTGTATCTCTAATCTCTAATAATTTACTAAAGCTATATTTGAATGTTATTTGAATGTGCAATTATTCATTGTTATGTTTATGACTAGCTGCATTGTTGTAGGCATGTGGTTTATTATAAATATGATTTGTGAATAAAAGCGTCTCAACCAGAGGCATATACAATCGATCAATTATTATTTTTCCTATATCTACATATCGATGTAATTATAGTTAATCGATCTAAATAATCATTAGCATTTACTATAATTTTTAGGACCATGAGAATTTTAGTAATCTAAGTTGCTCGAATGAATCGAATTATGCACCAAAATTAGTAATTTGAATTGGAAGTAAAGGTATATTTCATATAACTATTACGATCATTTAATTCAAACACTATACTACCGATTGAAATTTCAAAAAACTAAAAATCAAAATTAAAGTGGTGTTAGAGTTCGAAACTGTGATAGAATTAGGGATTGGATTAAGGTTAGGTTATATTTAAAAGTTTAGATACGTTGTATTTGTGCCGTTTGATTAGTATCGTAGTAAGCTTTGGATTTTAAAGGGTATAATGTAAATTTTATTAACCCGTATAATACAGTAATATGTAATTTGCATTTACTAATTTCTGGCTCACTTTTCTGCGATTTTGATTGGCTGTACTATGAACTACCCCAAGAGCACTACTAGTATTAAAATTCTTAGAAGTTCATTTAGATTAGGGTTAGTGTAAGGTTAGGGATAGAATAGCTCTAATAGTAAAATCGCTCAAGGAAAACTTTTTGTTAGAGCATCAAAAGTGGTTTCTTATTTAGATTTTTGAGCTATATACGTTTTTCGACAAAGTAAACGTTTGTTTTGAATTATCTTGATCATGTTATGTTACACATTGTTTATATAGTACAGACAATTAAAAATCGCATAAAATTTGTAAATGCCTGCAGCACTATATTCACAATTAGAGGTCAGAACCGGTTGTAAATTCAATAACCGATTTGGATTTATATGCAAACCGAATTGAATCGAATTGAACCGGATTGTGTAAAATCGATTTATTGGATGATCTGCAAGCATTCTGATTGGTTAAAATAAAAATAAAACTGAATTTGAATATTACCAACCGGTTTATTATAGAACCCGTTTACTATTAAAACCCATTACTATCAAAACGACTCACTATTAAAACCGGTTTAAACTGAGTTTAAAGTCAAATTATAGCAACCGGTTCCGACCTCTATTCACAATTTGTTTAGTTCAGAATTCTATATTTATTTTATTTATACTACTGTATATATTTTGAAATATATACTATGTTACACAGCATTATAGGTGATAATCATCTGTGGTGTAAATTAGAAATTTCCAATTCAAAAATACGAAATGTATGCATGGCGTATAAGTAATCTAATATTTCTAGGTTAAAATCGCCAAAGTCTTCAATTTGTTTTTTAATATATCTTTTTAACTGATTCATTGCTAATGCAAAGAATATATTGTTTAGTTGAAATAGATCCAACCAAATCCAAGATGCGTTTTTTGACTTTTCTTTTTAACACATTGTTAAATATTTGTTTATAATACAATAGGTCAATCGACATCATTTCGATTCTATTGTTTAGCCTTTCAATAGTTTTTTCTACGGTTACCATGTTTTCAGGTTGCATTTCTTTGCCATTTCCATTCTCGCTAAGATAGTTGTTCCAAGCTTCAATCATTTTCTTTTTTTTTAATAAATTTTATACATAGTATATATATATTTATGTTTACAAATAATTAAGTTTCTTTTTAATATGTTCTAACAAAAATTCGACAGTTTTTTCAAAAGAACATTGAAATTTATAAAATTCAAGATATAAACATTTAGTTAACATTTTTAAATATATTTA